TTTATGGTGGGTAGCAACGGTGTGACCACCTAAGACGGACTGGGCACTGGCGTGACTCGAGAGCGTCACTCTTCGGGAGTATTTCATGGTTTTCTCCTTACCTTTGACTTTCACTTTGATCCTCCCTCTTGTCACCTCTTCCTGGTAAGGTACCTCTTTAATGCTTTCGCTTACAGCAATCTCAGGAAGGTCTGGTCAGTGTTGAGCACAGTGTTAGTTGTTAGATGCTTTACATGCATGTAATAACAGGTATTTTAGGGTTTTCTAATAGCTGTTAGGTTATTGACAGTTGACACGTTAGTACAAAAGACCTTAACTGTAAGCATGAATTTTCTGTTGGATCCGACAGTGCTGCTGGAGGAAACTCCTGCACTGAACAGCTCATCACCTTCTGGAGATTATTGCTGTCACCTTCCAGAATTTATTGTACATTGGCCTATTGGTGGAGCAATTTGTATGAACAATCCTAAAATCACTTCAATAAAATCGGGCAGGTTAGCATGAAATTAGTGGTCTGGGTTAAGACGGCTTTACTTAATGAGTCTGTGGAGGTGTGTTTTTCTGGTCTTCAGGTACAAGTTACTGTTTTTCCTTTGCTCTTTCAGTTAACTGGCATACTAGACCACTTGAATACACCTTGTCCTCTTTATGGCAGCCTTAAACCGTGGATAAAATCAATTTGGTCTTACTTGATTGTGCCTGTGTTGAAGTAAATGAAGGAATGCTCAGACATGTTCCTTTCTGTCCTGTCAGCTGAGCATGACCTGCCTTCTTCCTTTCCATCCCTGCAGTCCAGGGTGGGAATGAACAAGAGGTAATTGAGAGTTTAACTGTTTCAGCCAGATCAAAAAAATATGTTATCAGTACCTTTAACTGTTATCAGACTCTCTGAAAGAATTCTAATTTAGCATGTTTTGGTGTTGGTTTTTTTTTTTTTTAAGAGACTCTAAGGTCTAGGGCTTTTACACGAGTAGTTTAAGGAGCCTTTGAGCACTTTGTTTCATTTGCCTGGCCTAATGGCCCATATGAAAGGCATCTGGTTCTGTTAAAGTAATCCTCACTTTTTTTGTTCCAGAATTCCAGAGGCACTTCTTACCTGTTGAAGGATAGTATCCCAATTACTGAATTTTCAGCTTCAGGACCATTTGAAGGTCATGATCTTCTGCGCAGAGGGTACGCTTTAGTTTTTCGTGTTGAATTGTGCTGTAGTCAATATTGAACCTCAAATATAGGAAGAAAGTACGTGTTAAATGTTCGCTTTTTAAAGAAGGTTCTTGGAAGGTGTGTCACAAAAGCTATAGCCTAAAGTGCACATACTTAACCAGATTGTCTTTCAAGTGTGAATTTTCTGTGAAACATCACTTCAAGAAGTAGATAACATTAATGGACTTTTACCTGTGTGGTACTGCTCTTTAGAAAAGAGATGGCAAAGTATTAGTAATTACAAAATATATGCTAGTTTTAATATACATGTATATGAGTGTGCCTTAGCACTGTGGGAAATGGTTAATTTCAGCATTGATAGAAAAAGTAAAGTTAATATAGTAAAAATAGTGTTTCTGGGTTTTGCCATTTTACATGAGTGCAAAACTGTGTATGCGTCTTGGATAATGAATCTAAAATAAGTTCATGGAGTTTAAAATGCGGGTGATACAACTATAAGTCGGGGGGGGAAGGTACGTACAATAGTCAGTTGAAAAGCTTGGAGACTTCTAAAATCAGATGCCATATAGCTTGGACATAACTAAGCCTTTGACGTTTTCATTTATTAATATTTTTCTCTATTTCTGAAAGAGGTCAAGGAAGAAGAGCTGTCATTCTGTTTTCTCAAACATAAAGGAAAAAAGATGCCTGAAATTTAAATTATTTTTCTTCTGGTAGTGCTGTCGTTAGAGGTCTTGTTTGCTGCTTCACTATTAAGCTTTTTTTTTTGTAGTTCAAACTGTGCTAATTGTGCGTCTCTGTGGGTTGATGTTTGTATCTGAGATTAGTTTTGGAATGCAACTTAAAAAACAGTATCTCGATTAATTTGAAGTTCAATTTTTATACTTGTATTTCTAGCTTTACAAGTGTGAAAAATGAATTGTTGCCCAGCCACCCACTGGAGTTGTCAGAAAAAAATGTAAGTAACATCAAATGTAGCTATCTCCACTTTTAACTAATTATGAAGTTTAAATTAACAATGTGGTTACCTGGACCGCTTTGTGCGGTAACAAGTAATGAGCAGGGTCTTGCCTTTAACAGAATAAAGGTGTTCAACAACAGTAACATTTTATTTATACAAATAAATTTATATAATTGTTGGCAAATTTGTTTAATGTTAACCTCCCACTTGTGACTCTCTCCACTTCAAGTATGTAAGTGGGCTTCCAAGTAGGCATTTACTTAGAAAGGTTTAGTCATCTAAAAGTTATTAAGCTTGTTGTGTGTGCAGCCTCTATAGTTAGGTGGGGGGCACACCTGCCACTTCTGGAAGGCTGATCCTCCCATTTTGTCTATAGGTTTACCATAGATCTTCATTTTCAGACTTTCAGTCTGTGAACACCTAAACACTTTTCATTAAATTACTTGAGCTCATCTAGAAATCGTACACATACAGTTTGTCGTAGGTGTATGCAATCTTGTCCAGCTTAGTCATCACTCGTGGACTACTTACGAGTGGTCTGTGGACCATAGGTTGGAGGTAAAGGGAGACTAGTTTGACAGCCTTGGCTAAATAGCTCGCTGAACTGAATCTTGTTTCTGGTGCTTGTTTTGTCAGCACGGAAGATTTGGTGTAATAAAGTGTCCTGAAGCAAAGGCAGCATTTGGATATAATGTTCCAAATTGCTAAGCTAATCAGCAGGACGAGGTCTGAATGTAATGTCTGATGTGTTCTAATTCTAACCAGTGCTAGTGTTGTCTTGCGCTAGTGTTGTCTTGAGTTAAAAGGATGATGATAATGTGACACCAACTTCACAAGCTTATTTATAAATACTATAAATGTTTCAAAGCTATTTGTCAATTGATCTTTTTTTTTTTTACAACTGACTGCTATAACTTAGTTTTTAACTCTGTTCTTGCTATATAAAACCTGCATAATTAAGATTATATGCTAGAGAGAAAAATTGCACAGAATAATTAAAACAGATAACGACATCCCCTAAGAAGTACGTGAAACTTTTTAATTGTTTTTTCCACATATTGTTTGGTCGGCTTTTCTGTAAGTTCATGGCTAATTTATCTAAGAATTATTTTCATGTACATTTGAATGAAAAAAGACTTATCTTAGCCTGAGATAGTGATCGTTGTTTTTACTGCCGTAAATGGTAGCTAATTCAGGTAGCACTAGTAGAAACCAAATCTTTCTGCTACCCAGATGAGGACCCCTACCTTTATAAAATAAAAGAAATGGAAAAATAATGTGGCCAGAATTGTAAGTTTGGGATGAGGTATACAAATATATTTTCTGCTAACTTTTGAAGACCATTCAATATAGGTGGTTATGAAGAAAATGCATGTTATGCCTTTGATATGTATTTTCCTGTTGGTTTTTGAGATCCCTTCGCATAAACAGGATGATATTCTCATACTAGTAGGCTTTTGTCATGGTGATTGAGTACAGGTTTTAAAATAAGAGATTTTCTTTGTTTTACTTCACAATATTGCATTGTGTCAACATTACCCGCATCTAGTCACTCCTGTAAAAGCCAAATTTGAGACTGGATTACTCAAGCTTAAGTTCAACATTAAGCATAAGTTACTTTTGTGTACTTCAGTATTTGTGAGCCAGCACTTTTTCATTAAAAGAACCCTCTACAAAATAGATTTTCTTTGTCTTACTGATCAGTTTTGGTAAAATTACGAGCTTTCTTTTGCTTTTTGGAGTCATGCGGTGTGTATGTGGTGCTCTGTCTTGCTACTTGATCAGAAAAGAAATATTTCAAGTGTTTTCAAGTAGAGTCTCTGATGGCTAACAATAACATCAATTGTGGCTTTCAAGTTTGTATTCGTACTTTAAACCAGACTTAGCTTTCGGTTCATGCTGACAATATTGTAGTAGTGTAAAGTAGTGCAAGACTATACCACTTGGTGGTGTTACATGTCCTGACTATCAAAAATAACAAAATAAAATTGCTACTATTGATTTGTAATAATATCCAGCAAAAAGCAATTTCAGTTTCATAAAACAAGTATTACTGCATCACTATCTTTCATGTACATTTGAGACATATGATGGAATCACTGAATTTTTACATATAAATATAATAAGCATGTTCATTTAAGTAGGATGTCATAAATCTCTTCTATGGCTGTACTTGAAAGTAACTTTTTCTAAAATAAAAATCAATGTTGTTTGTGATAGTTCCAGTTAAATCAAGATAAAACAAACTTTGCCACGCTGAGAAATATTCAAGGACTCCATGCACCTTTAAAGCTGCAGATGGAATTCAGAGCAGTGAAACAGGTAAGCATTTTAATCCAACTGGTATAACTTAAACAACTTGAAAAAATTTTTATCTCAGAACATGCTTTCAGAGAGACATCTTTCTTTGTTGAAATACCCTATGTTTCCAAAAGAAATTCTTTCACTGGACTGCTTTTATTAAAACCAACCAAACATCGCAATTAATAGTTTCCAGAACAGTCAGTATGCTAAAGCCTTTCAGCCAACAGCTAAAGCTGCTGGTTTTTTATTGGTGACTTGGTGAAGTGGTAACTGCTCTAGCTTTTCTGTGGACTACCTTCCTGTAAGCCTGCAGAGAAAAGCAGGAGGAATTGAATATTAATTCCTAAAATTAATACTCTCCTCTGTAGAACGTATGACCTTCATGGGAAGGAATCTGCATCTGTAGGGCAAAGAGACTTAGGGATCTGAAGCAGGTAGTGACTTGGGAGTGGATATAGAGGTATCATGAAACCTGAAGTAGAGAATTTGCTATTATTATTGTTCTGCTGCCTTTCTTGTAAGATCAGGGGAGGTCTACAGGGAGTTAAGTTCAAAGGTTTTTACTCTTAATCGGGAAGCTCTAGTCTGTCTCCTTTTCCTTCTTACCACCTAGGATGGAAAGTAACTGGAGGGAGGCTTTGTCCCCTAGGAAACATAGAAAGCTCATTGGTAAACTTTTTTTGGCTTGTTGAAGGTTGTCAAGCTATTAAGAGTTGTTTTTCCAAGTGAGCTGGAGCAATTTTATACTCCCTTCCTGTGGATCAGGTGCTACTGAACCACAGTGAGCTGCATTAAACTTGGCAGAAATTACTGGTCCTGAAGATGTGAAAGTCAAACAGGACGTATGAAAACATCACTTGATCTCAGCTGTGCTGTCTTATGAGGAAAAATCTTTTTCCTATCTGATGTTAGCACATGGCAGAAAACGAGCCAGGTGAGGATATCCTGCTAGTGTGTCTCCACAGGTATTCTTGGAGGATGGGTGGGGGAGAGATGGTGATTAGAAGGTTTTTCACTTCCAGCTTCATGTTAGATATACAAGTTCTCTTGTGGTTTAATTTCACTTTTCTAAAATATTTACTGGAATAGTGTATTTGAACTTCTGACAATTGTACCAGCAGTGATTATGGAAATCTTTGATTTATTTTGTGTGTGAAGAGATAGCTACATGATAATTTTATGGTTGTAAGATATGTTCATGATGTAACTGAAGTATCACTACTAGTAGTGAATGCAATTGTAAGTACAGATAGGCCATTCTCTGAATATTTAGGATCTGAATGCTGTGTGTACCACTTCAAAATTTTTTTGTAATACTGTGGGTGAAGGGTATAGAAAAGAATGTTGAAAGTAACATTCACTCCATGGGAGTGGACTTGAAGCTTAAGAATTGGTGGGGATCAGAGAAATAATTGTGATTTAGATTAATTGCAAGGATAATTATGTTTAGATGTGAAAATCAATATAGCTCTTTCACTTACTTTCCTGACTTGTGGCAGAGATGTAGGAAACTTAAAATGTGGTTTCCAAACACTGCATATATATGCAGTATACATCAATCACCCAATACTGGCCTCAGGGTGTTGATGTGTTGTTGCAGTGAGCCTCCCCAGCTTTATGTGGTAACAGAGGAGGGAAAAAAACCCTACTTTTTTTTTTAACTACACTATTTGCTGTAGTAGCTACACTGCAGTGAAAGCTGCAAATCTAGTGAAAGGCTGCTCTTTTCAAAACAGAGAGATAAACAATAGAAGATGGTAGTATTAGGTAGGTTTTGCTATCTATGTGTGCCAATAGTTATTACATTGTTGTTTTTGAAGGAAGAAGTGACTTTGCCTGTGACTTTCTTAGTCACTTCAGACTGAAAAATCAAAATATATAAGTGCCCTCAATTTCAGACTTGCAGAAACTTGAACTCTTGTTGTCTTTTTACAGGTCCAGCGTCTCCCATTTCTTCACAGCTCAAACATAGCACTGGATACTCTGAGGGGAAATGATGAATGCATTGGTTTTGAGGACATTCTTAATGGTAAATACATTCTGTTTTGAATGTTATGGAAACATTTAAAGGTAAAATTTGGGAACTGTGAAGTTCTTTGCCTCTACAGAATAAGAGCGTTAAAAGCACAGAATACAAAGAAAATATTGAATTCCTAAAGGCAAAGAAGCACTGGGGAAGGAGAAATAAATGTGGTTCAGCTGGTAGTTGCGTGGAAATTACTCTGAAATACTGAGTAAGCCAGTATTTGCTTGTAGGCTGGGTTTCTAAAGGAGTAGAAGATTATGCACTTACGTTGTATGCCTGTTTCGCCAGAAACTTTTGAACTACTTGTGCAGATTTTGGCAGATGGAGGTTACAAAGATACAAAGTTTTTATAAGTTCTAGAATTAAAGAAAGGCTAGAGGAGAGATACTGAATTAATGAACCAGAGGTGTGGCAGGGGGAAGGCTCCCTCAAATTAACCTGACAGTTTGCAGTTGTGTGGTGGGCTACTGACTGACAGTTAGTATGTGTGGAACAGAGTAAACTTGGAAAAATAGTTTAAAAAAATTATTTCTTTCTAGCTGGTAGTTAAGGACATGGAAGGAGGCAGAGGGTATTTTGAGGTGGGATTGGAGAATGGAAAGAGCCAGGGAGATAGGAAACTGGAAATAATGGAGGGGTAAGTGGGAATCTAGAGGCATGAGGTAAATCTGGGATTATTTTCTGGGATGGATTTATAGGGAGCAAGGGAAGGAATCTTAGGTTATTGTGGTTCAGGGGGTAGAGCAATGTCAAACATAATTTATAGGAATTTGGTTATTTACCATTGCTCACAACAAGCTGTTATGTATTTAGAGTGCTAAGGAGTGAGTGGGTTAGAAGTGGTTTTGGTAAGGTTGTATTTATCAGCTGGGGCTGGATTAGATAATTTTGGTGTCTCTGGAGGAATCAAAGGCATTAATATGCCTTATTTGTGGAAGGAAAACGTTCTGATACACCTATAAAGAACGGTGTATTTCTTCCAAAGTGCAGTCACAATCTTTCTTCTGGCCTTGATTTTTTTTTTTTCCCCCCCCTATGGAAATGAAGTTCATACTGTCAGTATTAGTGTATCTTGTGTCTGCTGCACATTCCTTGATAACCTTTGAGTACAGTGGCTAACGTCAACCGTACTTTGCAGAATGGAGGAAATCTCCGAGGTATTTAAGGGCATAGAATTTCTGTGAAACTGGGCAGTTAGGTGGAGAAAAGAAACCACGACTATTTCCCCACTAACAGAAGGGCTAGACTGTGAGCTCCTGTTGCGCAGAGAAGTTGCATTGGAAAGAGATGTGGGGCACCTGTGAGAAAAAGCTTCAGCAGACTTGAGTTTTCTTAAACATAAAACTCAATCAGCCTTGAGATTCAAGCTATAGGAGACTGTGCTTATGTAGAACGGGTTGGTTTTACTTGAAGTGTGTGTGTGTGTCTGTGTGTCCTTATGAAACACTGTTCCAGTATAGATGTATTTGTTACCTGATGATTGCTTTGGATAGAGACTTACGAGTTACAGACCTGTATTGTGCAACACTGTCAAAAATCAGTCGAGTAACTGTTGCACTAAAGCATTAGAATGAAAAGGGAAAAAAAAAAAAAAAAAAGAAATATGGTCATGTTCATCCTTATTGTTGGTCTTTGTAGCTTGGTAAAAGCCTCATGCTGTCGACTTTTTTTTTCCAGATCCTTCACAGAGTGAGGTTATGGGAGAACCACACATGATGATGGAATACAAGCTTGGTTTATTGTAACAAAATGTACTCCACAAAAATGTTTTGTGCGTGTCTTTATACTGCAGATCTAAATACATGATACTAAATTGACACTCACAGTGTTAAGCAGTCCTACAGTTATCATTTGCCTTCCTTGATGAAAAGGCACATTAAATGTTTAAAGTCTATAAATTGTTCTGTGCTTGTTGTCAATTATATAAATGTCCTGTAACTAGGTAATTTAAGTAATGTCTTCATACACTGCTCAGGACAATAGCTTCTTAACTATGGAAATGCTATATGTGTATACAAGAAATCCAAAAATACCCATGCATTTTAAAACTGATTACTGTAGGTAAATGCATTTAATGGATGTTCTTGCAGAAGAACTTTTTAAGGGGGAAAAGAAAGTATTTTCCATGGAGTAACTCTTTGTTCATGAAAATTTCCATACACTTTTTAAACTATTGAATAAAAGTTTGCTATAAATGCTGTTGCGTTCCAAAATATATTTAATCATAAATCAAGAATCTCTTATCCTCAACACAAACAGTGTTGTTCCTTTTTCTTGCAATATCTTTAGAGATCTTTAACTTCTGCACTGCCAGTGGAATCCTGCTACATACATTTCATCCCCCCATGTTGACAGCTGTTCATGAGTGAGCCATTAAGCTTTTGTGTAGAATTGGGCGTATCCTGTAAGAAGGGAGTTAAAGGTCTGGATTTTTTCATCTTTGTCCCTGAAAGTAGAAGCAAGTTCCATTTGGAGTTTAAAGAGGTGTTTTAAAATCCATTTGGGAACATAATCCCAAAAGAACACTCGTAGATCTAGGTATTTTAGATTTCAGAGATTAAGAAAGAATGCAGTGCCTAATTATGACAGTACCTAATAAAGCTGCTGCAGTGAGAACATGAAGATACAGTGGTACTAGATGACAAATACAGAAATAATTTTTTGTGGGTTTACCAAAATCAGATCTCAATTAAGGGAAAATGAGAGACCTATACTTAAATACACCTTTTAAAGGAACGGGCCACTGAAAGGTTTTTTGTGTGCCTAAGTGTGGGGGGGTGGTGTTATTAAATTCAGGGTTGTAACAACTATTTTCTGATGTCATACATATGCATGTGTCATATACAAATCCTGTAAGGCAGCTAATATGATGTGGCATATTAGGAGAAAAAAAGTCTGTGGTTCAAAAGATGTCATCTGTTGTCATATGTGGGGAGCTTGAAACAATATTTCTAAGACAGGAACTGTCTTTATTCAGCAGGTTTTAAGGACGTGATTAAACTGCTAAGTGCACTCGGTGTTCTGTTGTAGATAATTTTAGCAGAAATGTTGCTATAAACCTCTTTTCACAATCCCAAACATCTCTTGTGCTTTTCTGTGTGCTTAAAACTGCCACAAATTCCCTGTCCATGTGGGCGAAAGCCTGTAGCTTCTGTCCTGTAAGTTTTACAGCGCTTTTATGTGCATCTATTGCAAAACATTGCCGCAAATCAAAAACATTGAGATGACACAGTATGAGACTTTACTGGCGGTTTTATTTGGTTCTATATTTAAACTTGTTTCATTTAAGAAGTGAAGCTTCTAAAATTGTCTTTCACTTGAGAGTTGCGGAGATTAGAGGCTTGTGCTATGAAATACAAGCTATTGCATTTGTATTTTTTGCCTTAGTGAGGTTAAACATAGGACCAATAAATTGAACGTGCAAGTGTAGACATATTTGCTGTTTTGTTTTTCATAGCTGTCCTGATCTTTCTGTGAACAGATATACTTTATTAAATATCAGAATTGGCTGCTATTTTATAATTGACAAGTTTCTTGGCAGTTTTGTGTAAAGCAAAAGTAAACTGTTTTTATGAAACAAGCTTGGGGTTCAGTAGGCTTTGTATTGCTCTAGGCTCAGACCAGAAAGGCTGAGGGATTACCTTGCCAGGTCTGGGACAAATTAAGTTATGGACATGGATTTTTAGGAGGATTTTCAGGTCTGCCTTCCTACCAGCATTGTTCCAGGAATAGGGGTGCAGAAAACATGGAGCCATCCCATAGTTGTACAGTTACTGGTACCTTGTAGCTCCCCGCCTCAGTGTATCTAGCTAGTTGGCCTTTCCTGGTGTTGGTTGAAAGATGGATGCTATTGTATCTGAGCAAAACTACACTAAGACAAGTAATTTAGTAGAGTTTCTCATTAGTGCAGTGAAGAGCGGACACAGATTAGGAGGCTGGATGTAATTTCTAGGTGGTTTTGTTCAAGGATTGGTATACTTTATTATAACCTTGGGTGAGATCAAGCCATATTCAGAGCAAGGAAGCCAATTTTAGGGGTAAGCCAGGCTGGAAAGCAAATGGTACATGTGAGAGGCATGTGAGAATTTATGCTTTTAATAGGGTAATGGGAGTCAAGCAGGACTGAGACAAAGAGCTTTTGAGATAAAAAGGAAGGAGGAAGGGCTGCACTTGCTCAGTGTTGCAGTGGGTCGGGCTGGGGACTGGTCTTCCTGGCCCAGCCCCTTCTCCCTATTTCATACAAGCTTTATTCTATAAGGCAGGCGCTGCAAGTAGCAACCTGCGGAGGCATGCCAAGCGAGGTGTGCTGACAAGCGTAGCTGGGACAGACCCTGCCTTGGTCTCGCATTGGACCCAACCTGGGCCAGGGGAGGAAGGTGTGTGCGGGTCCCCCGGTCTGACAGGTGCAGCACAAGGCCCCATGCTGAGTTCCTGCAGACAGCAGTGCTGTGCCTGCCACCTCCTGATGTTCAGGGCAGCATCCTTTCCTCTCCCCAAGCACAGGAGGGAGGCAAAAGCACATCTTCCTGCACTGCTGTTTGTTTGTTACGACCACAAAAAATAGATGACACCATAGTGCTGCTGCTTCTGTTTACATAAACATTCCTCCACCAGTCATCCTCTTGGCCATTTGTCAAAAAACAATACAAATACAATTTAGAGTTTAAAAAAAACAAACTTCATTATTAATTTCTGTCAAAATAATTTGCATTTATATACAAATAGGGCAACTACTATAAACTTGGAAGATTTTGATTTAATAATCTGAAGCACACTAGTATCTGGTTTTCTCAACTTGCACTGTGCTAGGCACTTTAAAAAACACAGTTCATATCCTTCATGTGTTTTGACCTAAACTTACAGCCAGTTCTAAATGCTGTGTCTACCAGAAATACTTTGCAAACAGCAAGTACTTTGTACAGCAAAATCAAACTATAACAAAGCTATTCCTGAAGTGTACGTGCATCTTCTCATCTGGGCCAACAGAATGCCACTGCAGAACGGGCTTGCTTTGTTCCTACCTTCCGAGTGCTAGCAGAGGTGTGCATTGAGGAAGAGGAAGTGAAGGCACACACCCCTTCTTCATTTGCTTTACTTTTTCCAGGCAGTTTTGTGTGAAATAGTTAATTTCATAAAGCCTTACATAACTGCATAATGAAGAGGCAAGGAAGACAATGAATCTTTGTGCTGAAATCCTTTACATCAGTGTTTTCTTCATCTCTCTAAAAGTAATTATGTTTCGAACCCACTGATTATTGTAAAACTCGGCTCACTTCTCCAACAAGTTGGCAGCAACTTGGGCACCTCAAGGGAGGAGAGTTAAGCAGTTTTATTTACTGGTTAGTGTCTAAACTAGCTAGGAAAAGCTAATGATCTTTAATTGCCAACATCAGTCTTGGTAGTTCAGGACAGAAGTGTAAGAGCTGGCTCTTACCTTCATTCCCCCTGTCCTGGATAAACGGCACTGTTTTCACCAGTGACGGGTTGGTAGTGGTCTCCTGGATAGTGTAAATTCTCCTTTACCTTATTTGAACCCTCTTCCAAACTTCTCCGTGACCACAATACATAGCTCGGAAAGAATGCTGTCCAAACAAAAAGGATTTACAATAGTATCGCCATGATGTGGTACTAATATTTTTGGTGGAGTACCACTGAGAAGTTCTGCAGAAGTACTCTGTTCATATGATGGATATTAATGGCTGTAAGCAGATCATTGATTATACAGCATATGCTATGTCCGTCTTCATTTTTGTCCTATGCGTGTGCGTGTGAAGTCCGTTCCCATATAGTTGCTTTCCTAGAGTTTTCCTTCTGTGAATATCAACCACTTTACATTATTTTGATTTCTCTACCTAATCTGTTTTGGGGGAAGAGAGTCACTACCACCTATCTGTACTTTCAGATCAGAACAGTGTTAGCTGTCAAACTCTCTTAAAAAAAAACACATGGGAGTGGTCCTTAACATGGTGTTATATCTACACTTCTGCTCTGTTGTGCATTCCAGAAGCTAATACTCTGGATAATTTCTACTTAAAGATCTCAAGCAAAAAGGTGAGGAGTCAATGCCGAAACTGATTCCTACGTCTGGCAGTCTCACCAGTTTACACTGTGGCCCTGGGCCAGTCACTTGTCTTCTCTGTTGATTTCTCTCTCTCTGCAACAGGGAGGATAATATCTATTATGGAAGGAGGTTCTTAATAGCATTTGTAAAGTGCTTTGAAGATGAGAAATGCTGTTCAAGTGCTCATAAATTATGCTGCATTCATTGTAAGATGATTAGATGCATGATTCAGATTTGGTCACCTCATTTCAGCGCTGTTAAAAAAATAATCAAAGATCCACTGAAAAGAAATGCTATTACAGCCTTTCACTAGAAGAAACATTTAAGATAAGTACAGTCAACTTAACTAGAAAACAAGAAATATCTATGGGACAAAAAATAGAGGTGTCTGCATGCAGTCCCTAAAACATGGAAAACGATAAAAATAAATGTGCAATATGGCCTCTGCAAAATGTAGGCAAAGGCCTAACTTCACACTCTGCAAGCTGGAAATTTTCTAAGTATGACAGTTCTGTGTGAAAATCCATTTTAAGAACTAAGTCACAGGCAAGGTCCACACATTATATATTAAACTTGCACAAACACTCTCTGCTAACTGCAGAGCCGTAAGTCTACTTACAGCAGGTGCAAGTACTGCCTCCAGTTTGGTTGCTTTCTGAAAAAAGTACCTTTTATTTTAGTAATTTTAGACAGGTTTGGGGGCTTCACTATTAAGATGGGCCTTTTAAGATGTACACAGTGGACCGCATCCTCAGCTGGCATGAGCTCCACAGGCTGCAGCAGAATTGCCAGCACCCTCTGAGTTGCTAAGCTTACCTCTGTCACCCCACTTAGAATGATACAAGGTGTATCACAATCCACAGCTGACGTTCCCAAACTTGAGAAAGGGAAAGTGGAAAGAGAGTATCATCCTACCTAATGCTGAAAGCAGCATCAAAATCTCCATTGCCAGCCTACTTGCATAGTTAAGTATAAGAGCTAGTTTTATTCAAGTGCTAAAAAGAGACTGGATAAAGAGTGCTACCAATTTAGTGCTTGTTGCTGCAGGGTCACTTTGAGATTGCATCTGCAACTGTTGTGTTATCTCTATGGTCTCTGTATGACATAATGATCCCTGCCACTGCGTGTCAGATTAGAAAACGCAGGTAGGTGAATCCCTTGTTCAACTATCAACGCTCTCTATGCTGGATACTTCTTCAGGTACAAGCAGAGCCAAGTCCTCCCCATTCCAGCTTGTGCACAGAAGCCAGCTGTAAGACACAGATAAGACAGATATCTTTAGCTGCGATAGTTAAGTATAGCCTGCTGATTCAGCACCAACAAACACATCTGATAGCTCTGTTAGAGCCATCTTCTGTAGCACAAAGCTGTTGACGTATCTTAGTAAACAAAAGCAATGACAGTACTTGCCCTTATTACACAAGTTAGACAATATCACTGCTGCTGTCTTTGGTAAGAAGGAAAAGAAAAATAACTTCCAAAAATTTATGGTGATGATGGACTACAGTCCTGACTGCAGGATGGACTAATTGATAGTAAATATCTATCTGTTGCCTTTTGCATAGAATAGAGTGCTTTCTTAACAGAAGCTTCCTCTACCATACAGCACTGAACTAAACTAAAACTAGTGTTTAATAAAACAGAAGTATTTACTGGGCCTTTGTTAATGTAACTGAATTCCTCACTTTTTTATTACTTTACTGAAAAGTATTCTCCACACTCAGCACAACACTCCTTGGCTTCAATTCCCTCAGGTCTGAGACCCATCACCACCTAAGTCTTAAGCCACCATTAGAGCAGCTTCTCTGAATAGACTGTGTAAAACACTGTAGTCAGGCGGACACAGACTTGAAATTATCTGAAATGTTATAAATCTACAGCATTATCACTGCCTATGTAAAATTTAAAATGCAGCTGATATAGAGATAAAAGATGATAAAAGTCTAAGCATTAGGAAAAAAGATGAGTCTCCAGCAAGAGTACCACCCTCTTAAAACAGCTTTTTCCCCCTGAATATAAATCTATCTAATCTAATGAAAAGTGATCCTTCTGTCATTTAGATCTATGTTCCAGCATCCTAAAAAGACATAATTTATAGTGGAAATAATGAAAGTGAACTCACTTTTGTGAATAATCATGAATAATGATCTTTCACTGTCAGTATTACTAGATGGTCACTAGATACGATTAGATGCAAATGCTATAGAGGCATATTTTTTAAACTTGTCTAGAGGTTTATTCACATGGGGCTTAAAGTTAGTGCAGATCTTTTACAGATTTTGATGGCACTGAGTCACAAGGTACCCATGACCAAGGACTGGGACAGGTAACTTTCCATTAAATTCACTGGGTAATTGGTCACGTTTACAACCCTTGTTAGCATCTAGAAGAGCTCAGACTGCAAAACTAAGCTCATGCCTTTCAAGTGATCTGTTACTTTTGTTCTTTGTCAAAGGCTTTCCTCAGGGACACGTGTAAAAGTCTCAAACCAAGGAAAGGCATGCACGTGCCGTCAAGAGTACAGTGTATCCCACTAGGATAGATTTCATTTTGGTGGAATTAGATAACAAGTTCATAGCACGGAGCTGAAGGGAGGTAGCTGGATCAGGGCCAGACAGGGCTGATGATGGAAAAACT